CAGACAACCTCTCGTCAATATGCGTTTTTCGCATTGCATTGCTGCAAAAAACGCATAATAATATAGAATGGTTCTTTCAGTTTGGCGATTGATCTAGGCCTACTGACTTGGACATCTTGCCAGTTATATCTTTCGGCTCGGAAGTGCATATGTAGCCGCCAAATATTTAGTTGTATGTTTTTATTGAATCCGTCAAACCTGTGACTCACTCAGTACTTTATAAGTTCATTTGACAAGACGGGGTCACACATCGTTAGTGGTCATCGTTTTCTTGACGAAGCTCTTCTTGATCCTCATCTCTTCGAGCAGATCGAGTTCGCTTGGCAGTGATTTTAAATTTTCACTCAGGTTGCCGGTGGCTATCAGTTCTCGGTACAAAGCACATCGCATACCGGTCGAATGTTGGTTATATTCCCTCCTGAAATAACCGGATTTATAACAGTATACTTCTGCTTTGCACCAGATCTCGTGGGCAACTTCACATATGCCAAAGTGGAACTTCACATGTCAGCAGTACCCGGGGAACACAAAAGCTAATGTCTGGGTAACTCTTGAAGAAACATTTTTTGTTTGAAAACTCGAACTTTGGGGTCTCCGATCACTGTGATACGTAAGTTTTATGTTTTGCTTGAAATACCAAAAAATCCAAGTACATATGTTTCTGTCCTGTTTGGGCTTGCAACACCATGCTATCACGGATGTAACGTAGTCAGAAAAAGAAATAAGCTTTCGTTATTCAAAAAAAAAAAATATTTTTTTTACTGACCACTTCTAAAGTATTAATGTGTACGATTTTTTCCGAATAACGAGGCATGTGAGCGCGAAAAATAGTTTAGTCCGAACATGTTATCGCTGTTAAGCCTCAATGGAGCACTCACCAACTGGAGCCTCGAATCTGAATTCGATTTTCGTTTCGCTCTGTTCCCTGAGCTCTAACCACAGAAATTCGCTCACTTTGAGCCCGCAGCAATTTGCCGCAAAAACACATAACCTTCGTCATCATATCTGCCTCTGTTTATTATAAGACAGCTTTTGTATCAACTAGTTAACTTACTGGAATCGATCATAATGCAAGTCGATAATCACCGAGCGTACTGCATTCTTCAGTTGTTCTAAATTACCAAATTTCGGCAGCGTGAGTATTCGAACGAGGTCTTCCAGATCGATATCAGTCCACACCTGCAAGCAAATCAGCCATCTGCATCATTCCAGCTGTGAAACATATCAGGCTTCAGCTCTATTCTCCTTATTCCGCTCATTAATAGCGCCGTTTCCACTTGCTCCGATTGCTTTCAATTTTCAACAGATCAGTCCCAGGATTCTTCCATCCTATCAAACATCCCACACCACATCACCACTGGGAGCGTAAATTCTAAACACGCAATTACAACCCTTCGTCCACCTCATCCTTTCTTTTTTGTTTGCGTTATGAGACCACTTTCTGGATCAATCATTCAGTTCACTGCTGTTTTCATGCACTGATTGGTAACAAGCCAAGTCTCGAGATCTCAGCAGCAGCCAAACCGTAGCTTTCTACACATCGGTGAGCTTGGATTTTCGGTTTTGTAAAAAATCTAACTGGTTACATCAAAAAGGATGGCTTCAATTTCAATGGTCAAAGCCTCGATGGCGAAGTCCACATTGATCGGCTCGAGCAGAACAAGCAATTCAATTGTCTCTTGCATTGCATCCAGATCAGCAAGCATCTCATTCTTGAAATTGTTGTGAAACGCCAGACACAGGGCCTGAAAATGAGTAACAATA